CTCTCTGTCTCTGTCTCAATCACACACACACACACATACACGCACACTCTCTCTCTCTCTCTCTCTCTCTCTCTCTCTCTCTCTCTTACGAATATTTAAGGATGGTGGAGAGATGGTGTGAACAGGAGTCTATTTATGTGCTTGTTTTTTCTGAGGAAAGTCAGTTTGTGATGAATGGTCATGAACTTGGAATGCTTTAAGCTCCCACATTTTATTTTCTATTTAGTTGACTTTGGTGAAAGTCATTTGGTGATTCCTGTCAGGGTTGCATTTTGGAAAACGGCAAACACCTCCTTGGCAATACTTGAGAGGAAAAATCTCAGCAAGTGTCGGGGTGAAGGCCAGGCAGCAGTGCCTGTGAGCCAACCAGTGAGGTCAGTGTGGTCTTTATTTAGGGGGACGGAAGGAGAAGCAAAATTGTTTGTTAAATAAAATGCCTTTGATATTTGCATGAACTTCAGGAAGTGCAGACCTTCTTTCAGTAATCCCCAAACAAGGGGGGCGATGCTGAGAGTTTTGTGCTTTTCACAAGCATGTCCGGATACGTGATAATTTTGCAAGAGATCCTAGGAAGAGCGAGATTGGAAGAAATCAGAGATTTTAGTCCCATCAGTTAAATTACCTGACATGTCAATCTTCTTTCATTTTCAGGTGGCAGCACAAGCAATGGGTGAGTGTTTTTCCATGGGGTGTATAAAGACCAGATGAAAGTCATATTTTCTAAGAAATCTGATGAAGCTCAAGGTTTCTCATTGGGTTCATTGGGGGTCTTTCAAACACAAACACTAAAGCCCCCCAAAAACAAAGTGTCTAAGTCCTTGGCTAAAGTAATTTGGTTTCGGTGGGGAATGTAGTGATTATTCTTAATAGGCTCTTCTCTTACTTATTCTGGGGGACCATGGAAACCTGTGTGCTAAGAGGGTGTATGCTATTGTACCCAGGAGTCATGGCAAATCGACTCCACTTGCCTGTTCAGTTAAGTATCAAGTATCCTCAGAGCTACTTTCTTTTAAGGTCACAGTTTACCGTGGTATACTCAGAATAAGGACTTTTTAAAAAACTGCTATGTGGATTTATCATCTATATGCTGCTTCCAGAGTTTTGTGTCTTGAAATAAAGGCATATATTCAGTGAGAGAGATTTATAAAAGTAATAAAGACAAAAAACAAAAATGAGGGCCGGGCGTGGTGTCTCACGACTATAATCCCAGCACTTTGGGAGGCTGAGGCAGGCAGATCACCTATGGTCAGGAGTTTGAGATCAGCTGGCCAACATGGAGAAACCCCGTCTCTACAAAAAATACAAAAATTAGCTGGGCATGGTGGCAGGTGCCTGTAATCCCAGCTACTTGGGAGGCTGGGGCAGGAGAATCGCTTGAACCCAGGAGGCAGAGGTTTTGGTGAGCCAAGATAGCGCCACTGCACTCCAGCCGCGGTGACAGAGCAAGACTCCATCTGAAAAAAAAAAAAAAAAAAAAAGATTATCAACCACATAGTGAGAGAGGAGCCATGGTGGTTGAGGATGATTCTATCTGGAATGTGTGGGGAGATGAAGCAGGATTTGATTTGACTGCGAATGAAAGAAAGCCCAAAGTAACACAGGTTTATATGAGAGAGGGGTTTATTTCCCTTGTCTATAAATGTCCAAGAATAGGCAGTCTAGGCTGAGATGGTGACTTTATGATCATTGTAGCTCTTTCTGTCTGCCAATCTTAGTTTGTACCTCATAGTACAAAATGGCTGCTCATGCTCCAGCCATCACATTCACCTGCCAATCAGCAGGGGGCAGGACAAAGGGGAAAACTGCTCACTATTCTCCCCCTTACCTCCTGTTGGCCAGAAGTTATAGCTATACCTGGTTGCAAAGGAACCAGAAAGATGTAGTTTCTATTCTGAGTAACTTTGCTTCCAGCTAAAAATCAGTTCTATTTAGAAAGGGAGGTTCAAGGGGGAGTCTGAATGCCCATTCTTAAGGAGAGAGAAATATTTTCCTGAAATTTAACTGCAAATGATTGCCATACTAGCATTTGTCTAATTAAAATTTGAAAGTAGTAACAATATTAGTAGTTTATTCATGTTTACTACTCAGAGGGAATAACTTTAAGGACTGCAAAGGTTTTTCTTTTTTTTTTTTTTTGAGATGGAGTCTCGGTCTATCACCAGACACCATCTTGGCTCACTTGCAACCTCTGCTTCCTGGGTTCAAGAGATTCCCCTGCCTCAGCCTTCCAAGTAGCTGGGACTACAGGCATGCACCACCACACCCGGCTAATTTTTTGTATTTTAGTAGAGACAGGTTTCTTCATGTTGGCCAGGATGGTCTCGATCTCCTGACCTTGTGATCCGCCCACCTTGGCCTCCTAAAGTGCTGGGATTACAGGCGTGAGCCATCGCGCATATCTGAAAGGTATTCTTAAAATGGCTGCCCTCTGCCCTCTGCCACATCTGCCCTAGCAGGGACCCTGTGCTGTGGACTAGCAGTGGAAGTGCCTCTGTTCTGCAGAGCACCCTTGCCAATCCTTCCTCCCAGTATGGCCTGGGGTGAGTCCTCCATGTTGTTGCCACCTCAGTTTCCTCTTGAATCAAAAGTGCATAATAATATCAGCCTCAAAGGGGAAGTTTCCAGTGCGCCCAGTGAATGTGACTGTCCTTTGTCCCAAGACCTGAGGTCAGCCTCTCAGCCTGACGGAGACAGGATCAACACTGACACACGCTGGAGTCTCTGTGCAGGGCTCTGTGGAAGCCTGCCGTGTTACCTGCCATGTAATCCACATGTCTCATCCTCATTTGATAGAAAAGGGACCTGCAGGTGAGAGAGCTTAAGAAATGTGCCCTGGGTCCCCCAGCTGGGCTGTGGCAGCCAGGACCTCAGCCCAGTTCTGATGACTCCTGGAGCCTGGGGATCCAAGCTCTCTGCTGGGCTAAAAATAACAAGGCTCAGGTTAAAAGTCTCTTCTCACTTTCCAAATCCGTAAAACAATTCAAAACTTTTGCAATTTTTTTCAGCTCCACTTGGAAGCATTAAAGAGGAAGGTCTCACTGTCTCCTTGAGCATATGGCGGAACTTGTTAATAGCTCAGGATGGTGTGTTTCTAAATTTGACATTAAGGAATAGAGACAGGGATAATTACTGCTTTCCTTTTGTTTGTGCTTAAAAACACTAATTAAAGATACAGAACCATTTTAAAGAGAATCTGTGTCTGGTGCAGCCATTTTTCCCCAGCACTGTTGGCTGTTTAGTCACATTATTCAGGGAGTGGAGGTTTTTCTCGTGAGCCTCAGTTACCCACCAGAATGGACCATTGTCCCAGGGCATCTGTGAGCAGCCCCAGTCTACAGAGCCCCTTTCCTTCACTTCTGTATGTGGCCGGCACCAGGGCAGATTCATTCTTGACACGTGCTAATTCCCCGACTCAAGAACACACCAAGGTGTCTGTATGTCTTCTGTCTCTTTTATTTTCATTATGGTTTTATTTTTTGAGATGGAGTCTCACTCTGTCACCCAGGCTAGAGTGCAGTGGTGCAATCTCTGCTCACTGCAACCTCCGTCTCTAGGGTTCAAGCAATTCTCCTGCCTCAGCCTCCTGAGTCGCTGGGATTATAGGCGCATGTCACCACACCTGGCTAATTTTTGTATTTTTAATAGAGACGCACTTTCACCATGTTGGCCAGATTGGTCTTGAACTCCTGACCTCAGGTGATCCACCCACCTCGGCCCCCAAAGTGTTGGGATGACAAGCGTGAGCCACCGTGCCTGGCCTTTTATTTTTATTTTTAATATTTTTTAGAGACAGGGTCTCACTCTGTCTCCCAGGCTGGAGTGCAGGGACACAATCATAGCTCACTGCAGCCTCCGTCTCTAGGGTTCAAGCGATCCTCCCGCCTCAGCCTCCTGAGTAGCTAGGACCACAGGCACATACCACCACTGCGCTCAGCTTTTCTCCTCTTTGATTGTGTGTGCCTTGCTGTGACCTGAAGCTTCAGAGGGAAGCATTTTTTTTTTTTTTTGCAGAAAATACAAAGCGTTTTAATCTTTTGCATTTTTCAAAACAAGGACTGATTTCACCATTTACATTCAATAAAAACAGAGTATCTTACGCATAGGTTTTTTAAGAACAGAAGACAAGAATGACAGGGAGGAGCCAGAAGGAGCTTCAAAAAACGAACACAAAACTACCACATCCTTTTCAAGTCAGCTCTACACAGTCTCACTGTAATGTTCATATGTCTTCTTATGACATTCCAATGGCAGACATGGCAATGTATAGAGAGGAAAGAGTGGCACAGCTGTGATCAGCTGTGGACACAAAGTAGGAGCTGAACAGTGGTAGTCAGTTGTGGACTTGATTATAAGCTGTGGAATTGGAATCAATCATGGATGTAGGTATGGGCTGTGAAATTGTATCTAATCATGGGCCAGTAGTACAGAGTTAAAATAAATCATGAGCCTGTGGTGTGGGCTATGTATGTGTTTTCATTAACTGTGGGCCAATAGTGTGGCAATTGTAATCAAATAAAAAGAAAGAAGGGACTTAACGTTTTATTGGACACCTGCCTTGTGCCTGGAAATGGATTGTGGACTTTACCTGTTTTTTATTCAATTCTCATACATGACGTGAAGTAGGCATGATGATTTCTATGATAAGAAACAGAAGATTGAATAAGTATCGCCAGACTCCGCATGTGTAAGATGGGGCAGGTAGTTGAACCACAAAGCCTTTACTGTTTCCATACTGTCACCCCTTCTATGACTTCGCTTGTCAGAAATGGCATCTGTGTGCCATCCCAGGCTAGTAGCAGACCTTAACTGACCCCAGAACATTTGGCACCCCAGACTTGGCCACGAATTTCTTCTCTCTATGCGGTAGCAGTCATTTTCAATCTACTTTATTGGCATATAAAGTAGAACTTATGTGCTAACCTTAATCTTAGTCCCAGTTATAGATTCCATTTATTTAATAATTGCTTATCTTCATCATATCTTCTTTTTTCTTTTTTTAGAAAGAAAAAGAAAGAGAGAGAGAAAGAAAGAAAAGAATGAAAGAGAGAAAGAAAGAGGAAGAGAAAGAGGGAGAGAGAACGGGAATCTTGCTCTGTTGCCCAGGCTAGAATGCAGTCTAAAAATGGGTATTAACAACCTCTTATATGCCAATAATTGTGCTTAACCAGAGGGAAGCATTTCTCTCCACTCCTATTCTCTATCCAGGCGTGGAATTCCCACTAATCTTAGGAGGCTGGCTGCAGAGAGAGAATGTGGGTTGTAGGACAATGGCCAGGGGGAAGGTAAAAGGCATCCCCGCTGGTGCAGACAAGCCCATGACGTGGAGACTCTGCTCGCTCATGCCAGGCCAGAGGGCTGCTTCTGCTATTCCACTTCTGTTAGGGGATGCTAAGCCCCAGAGGCCACGGGTCTCTGAAGGAGGGCGCCTTTCAGCCTGGTTTTCTGCCTGAATACAGGAAAATAAAACAAGATGTTTTTTCTTGGCTTTCCTGGTAGGGGACCCAGTCGCTTTTCAGATCCATCAGAAATAAAGGCCTCTGGGCCTGAGAGGACTTCCGCACCCTCTCTTCTGGTCACTGCCTATTCTTACACTCTGCTTTTCTGACAATCGAAGATGAGGGTCTTCCCCAGCGCAATGCTCTGATCACACTGGATGCCTTGGAAATGTTTGCAGCGCTGAACTGAATGTCGAGTGGTGGATAGTAGACCAGGTCCCTGGGAGGAGAGCCGTGTGTGGCTTTCATCTGGGCTGAGGCCCTAACTCAACTGGCTTGATTTTCTCTGTGTGGTAGACAAGATATCTCCCCTACCCAGACACTAGCTTCTGCCAAAAGGCAACAATGCCTTAATAGTCGGGCTGGATTTCTGCTGTATACTTTTAGCTTCAGCAGAAGATAAGCTATTTATTCCATTACCTTCCCAGGCTTTGAGAATAGGACTGTCCCCACTTCAGGAACCCCGTGGTAACATGGCCCTCCACCCCACTGGGGGCAAACTCATTTCCTTAGTGAGGAAGACCACAGACAGGTGGGTGGCCATGTTCAGCACTAATTAAACCAGCAAAGGAGGGCTTGATCTCCAGGGTGGGAGGAAGGGTCCTGTTCCCACTCCCTGAAGGCATGCAACCCAGCTGTGCCACTCACTGGTTTGGTGACCTTTGGCAAGTAACTGAATCTCTCTCAGCCTCCGTGTTCCCATATGTGAAAGTAATAGACCCATGTCATGAGGGGTACAAAAAGGATTAAATGAGCTGATACACGTCAGGGACTGAACATGGTCCTTGACCGACAGACACGCTCAATAGTGTTATGGTTACTCTAAGTCTCTACAGAAAAGCAGGTCTCGGATGGATGAGCAACAGATGTGTTTAGCCTTGAGCATGTTCTCTTAGGAATCCAAGACACATTTTCCAGCAGGACAGGCAGATCCTGGGACTTAAATCCATACGAAGGACTCAAGATGATACATAGGAGGGAGAAAGCAGAATAATAGCGGTCCCTGGGGGTCATGCAGCCAGGTGAAGATTCTGAGAAGGACACTGGGCTTTTAGGACTAACTGATCAAAACTCATTATGACTTTTCTCATTCATTCATTCACACAACAAATATCTACCAAATGCATATTGGGAGTGAGGCACTGTGCTGAGTCCCAGGGACCCCATGAGGAACAAGAGCGGTACATTTATGGAATTTCTGACCCAACTGAGGGGGTGGGAGCAAGGGGAGGCAGGCTGGTAAGTGGATGAATACATGAACAAGATCATTTCGGAGAGTGCCTTGGTCATCTATTGCTGCATATCAAACCACCCTAAAACAAAGGGGCTGAAAACAACGGTGACCATTTATTTGCTCATGATTCTGCAGTCTGGGCAAGGGGCATCTGCAGTTTGAGTGGGTCAACTCGTCTTTGCTGCACATGGCTTCAGCTGGGGGAGCTCAGCCGGGGCTGGAGGAACCACTTCCACGATGGCCCACTCACTAGACTGGTTGGCTGGGGCTGGCTCTTGGGTTGGGGCCCGGGTGGGGCAGTTGGCCAGGGCCTGAGCCCTCCTTCGTGCCATCTCTCCATGTGGGTAGGCAAGGGCTTCTCACTGTCTAGAGAGCATTCTAAGACAAGTGTCAAGAGAAACAAGAAGCCACCAAAGCATTCTAGATACGCGAGTCACGCCGTTCGATGGGGAAATTTCAAAACTTCTTTCTTTCTTCATTTTCTCATTTACAGAATGAGAGGCCTGCTTGAGTCACCATTAAAGTCTTTTCTACCCAACATGCCTGAAAAAAAAAAAACACCAGCTCTTTGGTGTCTGTAGTTTCGGGGTTTAAGGCTTCTCCACCCTCATTTCTCCCAAGAGCAGTGAAGAATCAGAAGAAGGCTTCCTGGACATTTTATGAGAAAAGGCACAAAGCCCATTAATAAAGGCGTTGTCAATACGCGTTCCAGGCTGTGCTGTGTGCCTCTCGTCAAGTACACGCTGCATGAAGATAGATGTGAACGGCCAGTGCTTAAGCAAAGGCTCTTTTGAGCAAGAAAAGAATGTCAGTCATCAAAGAATTTCGGAACATACAGATCTTCTAGTCTAGGCTAGACCAACACATAAACCAAATTCCAATGAGCTGGCGTTACCCAACACTCAGTGGTCCTGGGAGGCAGGGGGCACCAGAACAGAAGTCTTCTTTGGGATTTAATTAGATTGAGATGGTTGATATGTTCTTCAAGGAGGGAGCTGAGCACTTAAAATTATGCCAAAGATATTTTTCCCCCGGTGTCTGTTATGGGAGCCATGAACCTATCAAAATGTGTGATAAGGAAGCTACTTGTGTCATTTTAAACTAGTTCAAACCAGCTAGGCTGCTCCCTGCTTTAAGCTGCTGGCTATCAGCTGTCATTCAGCCTGGATGTGAAACAGGCAGGTGGATGAGGAAGACATCATCTTGTTAGAATCTGCAGGAGCGGGCAAGCAGAATGCCTATCATCATCACACATCTCCCAGGCAGGCTCAGGCACAGGCTCCAGCACGAAGCACTGTCTTAGATCGGCTTTTTCATTTAAATGACATTTTTTGGGGAAAGGTTAGAATTTAATCCTCTCTCAGCATAGAGTTATTTCAGTTGCCACTGATCTTTCCGATAAATGAGAAGGGTTTCGTTTTTCTTGCTACCAAGGTATCTAATTTTATAAAAGCCTTCAACAATGTAATAATTTATTGTCACAACAGGATGGCTGCGTGTAAGGACTGGTCTACTTTCTATTAATTTTCTAAATGAATCTCTTCTCCTCAGCACTGAGAAGTTGTGCATGCCTTTCTCTGCGGGTTTCATTAAGACCTGTTTGAAGTCATGATTGTAAGATCATTACGATGTTTTTAAAAGATAGTGGGTTTCAAAGAGTTGTACTTAGAAGACTTAAAAAGCTTCATCATCTTGATTCCTGTCCTCAGAGCTGTGATCTGTGTTTGCAGTAATTGGTATCATTTTCCTTGCAATTTCACACCCAAGTTCTATTGTTCTAATTACACCTAGTACTCTTGGGAAATGACACATGTAATAAGAAATGTAAAAATAAAGGAGAGCCTAGCATCTTCTAAGGAATGTGGTGGGGGGGATGGGAAACTGAGGCAAGGGGTGCATTATAGCTTACATAACCATTTCTAACTTTCATGTTATGGCCACAGCAGGAGAAGTGCCAGCATGGTTATAAATTAGACATCGACAGATGAGTCAGTGAAAACACTTGGAAGTGTTCCTATCTTCAAAAGATGGGGATAGGGGAGAAGAAGGAAAAAGGAAGTCCATTCTGATCCTAAGAGGCAGAACTGGGGCTTTCTGCTAAGATGAAAGAGAGGGGAAGCAGGTGGAAGTGAGGTAGTCTTGGAAACAATGAAATTATTCTCAGAAGTTCTCATGTACAAGGAAGTGTTGTATTTCCATTATAGTCATACCATTCTCAGCTCAGCTCATGACAGAAACTTCTAAAGTCTCCACTTTGCCACAAAGTTATGTCAGAACTCAAAGATGTCAATTAACTTGTCCAAGCTCATAAGGAAAGACCACAGATAAGACTGGAAGTGGGGGCATTCCTAGTCATTGTATTAGCTGGCCAGGGCTTTCTGCCTGTCCTGGTGGGAACTAGGGGAGAAAGTGGCGTGCGTTGTATGAACGGTGGCAGCAGAGGACGTCTCTTCTCTCCTCTTGGGCCTGTGTTGATCACATTCAAGATTTTTTGTTGTTGTTTTTGTTTTCTTTTAGAGATGTGGTCTCACTCTGTCATTCAGGCTGGAGTGCAGTGGTGTGGTCATAGCTTACTGCAGCCTGTACCCTCTGGGCTCAAGTGATCCTCCCACCTCAGCCTCCTGAGTAGCTGGAACTACAGGTGTGCTCCACAACACCTGGCTTTTTTTTTTTTTTATGCAGAGATGGGGTTTCGGTATGTTCCCCAGACTGGTCTTGAACTCCTGGGCTAAAGGGATTCACCTGCCTCGGCCTCCCAAGGTGCTGGGATTACAGGTGTCAACCCCTGCACCCTGCCCCACATCCAAGTATTCTATAGCAAATGCTTTGTTGCTTGAGCCAAATGCCAAACCCATTCAGGGCACATTTTGTCATAGGTTTGAACTAAACCTAAGTCTTTCCCTGTTGGAGTAGACACGGCTCCCCTACCCTAATGAGGGTGGGATGGCAGTGTGTAGGACCCAGCGCCAGAGATCAGTCTGTAGTAGAAAAACAATATTTTTGATAAAGTGGAAGCGCATCAAAGACATATAGAGAAATTCCTTTCTGCCGGTCAGGAAATGTTTAAAAAATTGAAAGTGGGAGAACGCTGTGGAAAAATAACTTTGAGAAGGAAGGTCTCTCCACTGCGCGGGCTTCTTTAAAAGCATCTCGTGCCCTTTCTGACTTGCAAGCTATTGATGTTGCTAAGTCCACTCAAACCAGCCTGATTGGTCTTCCACCGAAACGCCCCTCTCGGTCATGGTGTCATTTGGTCGACATTGAGGCTGTGCCCTGTGACCGCCGCATGCACAGAGCCACAATTATAACCATCTTTTTTGCAGTCTGCCCCTGTGGCCTGTCACCGCCTAATCAGAAATCTCTGTTCCATGCAGTGGTCTGGGAATGTCCCCTACCAAGTTGGTAGCTATATGCTTTTCCATTTTGGAGCCTGGAAGTTTCTGGTTCAGTAGTTTCCTTTCTTAAGACGATATGATTTCCTATCATCTTAAGTAAGCTGGAAAGAATTTTTCGAATGAGAGAGAGAGGAATAAAAGGCACTATGTTGTACAGTGTTGTTTTCTTTTTTAAAAACACACACACGGCGGACTGTTCTGGAAACGCATGAGCTGAAGTCACAGCCAAGGTCTCTGCTGGTAGGAGCCCTTCCTGCCCGAAAGGGACCACTTGTTAATAGCTGTATTCATGGAAGTTAAAATTAAATTTCTGTGTGTTGATGTAAAGCCAACTTTTCCCTCAGGGCTATTTATTTTAAAAATCGAAAATAGTAAAGGGTCCACAGCCTAGAACGTAACACGAGCAGACTGGGGTCTGTGCTCTGAGCAAAGCTTCCTTTGTACTCTGTCTCTGCGACCGAATGCCCTCCAGGAGTTGCCTGGCACTGTGCTGCTTTCCCCGTCTACATGTGGCAAGCTCAGGCAGTTTTTGTGCTCACCTGCGAGGGCGGTTGTTCAAGATTTTCATATCTGGAGCTAAAGACTGCAATAAACAGTGCCATCCTGAATGCATGTGCCACACAGGAAAGTGGGCTTGTGGGAGGCTGTGGCTGTGGCGGAATTGGTTTTGTATGTGGGATTGTTTTGCCTTTAGGGTTCAAGGTTGGGATTGATGCTGTGTTTTTAAAAAATATCCGCATTTTTTCATTAAAAAAATTAAAATTAGCCGGGTGAGGTAGCTCACGCCTGTAATACTGGCTCTTTGGGAGGCTGAGGCATGTGGCTCTCCTGAGGTCAGGAGTTCGAGACCAGCCTGGCTAACATGGTGAAACACTGTCTCTCTAAAAATACAAAAATTAGCTGGGCGTGGTGGCAGGTGCCTGTAATCCCAGCTACTCGGGAGGTTGAGGCAGGACAATCACTTGAATCTGGGAGGCGGAGGTTGCAGTTAGCCAAGATCATGCCACTGCACTCCAGCCCGGGCAACAAGAGTAAAACTCCATCTCAACAAAAGCAACAACAAAAAAAATTAAAATTAAAATTAATGATTAGGAAGCAAAAGCGAAGAAGGCTATTTCCAATAATGCCAATAAATAAAGGTAGAAAATGGCCCATATTCTCATAAAGGCAAAGGTTTAAAATCTCGATGTTTAATAATAATATTAGGGTTTGGGTGCCGTGGCTCCTGTTTGTAATCCTAGCATTTTGGGAGGCCAAGATGAGAGGACTGCTTGAGGACAAGCCTGGACAACATAGTGAGACCCTGTCTCTATAAAAAATTTTAAAAACTAACTGGGCATGGTGATGCCCGCCTGAGGTTCCACCTACTCAGGAGGCTGAGGTGGGAGGATCCCTTGAGCCCAGGGGGTTGAGGCTGCAGTGAGCTATGACTGTGCCACTGCACTCCAGCCTGGGTGACAGAGTTAGACTCTGTCTCTAGGAAATACAATGATAGGAAGAAGTAGAAGTAGAAGGAGTTTTTCTTCTTAGTTCCCTTGGTTAGAATAAAAGAGTAAGAAGTCTCCTTAAAATGTCGTTTAAAGATCCAGAAAGCCCTTTTAGTTATGGGGAAAAGCATCAGCTGCAGTGGGGAGCAAGATCAGTCCCGCGAAGACCTCTCTTATGCAACTCGGCCAGCTCCAAATAGACACGGGATGCCTGGCTGACTTGATTCTCACTTGATTTCTATGCTTGGACTTTTAATTTTTAACCAGAAGCAACCTGTAAAGCTCATAAGAGGACTTGTTCCTCTCCTTTCTCAGAAGCAATTCGTATTCATTTCTCCCTTTGCAAATGCTAGTTAAGACATTTAACAGATGCAGTATTGGGAATCAGGCACTATAAGAAGAAAATATTGATGAGCAAGTGTAAATCGATTTCCTCTTGTCAGTGAGAAGCATATTTCATTTTTTCTGGAAGAACGTATTAAATTTAAACCATCCTAGTAATAAGTAAATGCTATCTACCTGTCAATGGTATCACTCGATTGCCTTAGAGTGTGGATTTCTATACTATTGCCCATGGCTTCTCTCTAAAATCCTTTAGCAATGCACCCATGTAGAATTGCATCTGCACAGACTATCGACAGAGTTCTCAGCTCACAGCCTGAATAAAAACATGCATGAATGAAAGACTTTCCTGGGTTCGACTACCTCTAAAGAGCTCAGGTTCATTATCCATGTTTTATCTAGGACTTGGTTTCAGATCTGGGAGGGAAAGAAGAAACCCTCTTGGTGGCTGGGTTTCCCATTCTTTTATCCCTCACTTGGGATCCATGATTAATTAGTGCATTGTACAAGAGAGTGACCTCTGTTTCTTTGGGCAAATGGAACCAAGTTGTAAAAGCAGGACCATAAATCAGCTCGTTACAATGGCAACTTTCTTGAAAGCACCTAAAAGCCCTGTAGGCATTCCTCCTAGTTAATGAGCAACAAGGTAGAGCCTAAATCGCTGGCTTGGTAGAGGCCAAGTTAGAACCAGAAGATGGATATGTGAAAATCAGTCACCCAGGAAAATCCAAGCCACCCAAAGAAACACAACCAACTTCAAAGGCCTCTTGCCCCTTCTCTTATGCAAGGCTCTGCTGGCTGAAGCATTTGTATGAAAAGTGAAACCAGCTGTGGAAACCTGTTTTGGGCATGTCTATGGAAAAGGATTTTCTCTTAGGCATTGTCTTTACGGCTTCGTCTTCTCGAAGTGTTGTCTGGATTTCCTGAGAGGTGATAGACAGCTGGTCAGAGCCTCCTTTTCTTCTTCTTTTTTTAAAATGCAATTTTTTTTATTTTTTATTTTTGTGGGTACATAGTAGGTGTGTATATTTATGGGTTTTATGAGATAGTTTTGACATAGGCATGCAGTGCATAATAATCACAGCAGAGAAAATGAAGTATTCATCCCCTCAAGCATTTATTGTTTGTGTTACAAACAATCCAGTTATATACTCTAGCAATTTTTAAATGTACAATTAAATTATTATTTTTAAAAAATATATATATATTTTACTGCACTTTAGGTTCTGGGGTACATGTGAAGAACATGCAGGATTGTTGTAAAGGTGGCAATGTGGTTTGCTGCCTCCATCCCCGTCACCTATATTTGGCATTTCTCCCCATGTTATCCCTTCCCAACTCCCTACCCCCTGCTGTCGCTCCCCTGTCCCCCTCAACAGACCCCAGTGTGTGATGCTCCCCTCACTATGTCCATGTGTTCCCATTGTTCAACATCCACCTATGAGTAAGAACATGTGGTGTTTGATTTTCTGTTCTCGTGTCAGTTTGCTGAGAATGATGGTTTCCAGGATCATCCATGTTCCTACAAAGGACATGAACTCATCGTTTTTTATGGCTGCATAGTATTCCATGGTGTATATGTG